CTCTCTCTTTCTCTCTCTCTCCTTCCTCCACACCCCCCCAACCCATCCCGAATTACTCACCCCTCCCCAACTCCCTTCCATGAGAGAGATAAAGGTCTATAAAAAATGTGCTAATCTCGCCTGGCGTTCACAAAACAATGCCCTCATTTTGAAGGCACTCGCCTCTCTCGTAGCCGCTGTTTTTTGTTGTTGTTTTTTTAAAATCGATTCGGTCAACATTATCGGCATCTGGAGGGGAATCCTTTCCGTAGACTCATGCTGTAGACTAGCTCTTCAGTTCGTGTAACAAGAATCAAGATTGGTTATGGGAAGTGAAGATGCTTCTCCACCTCATTAAAAGTAGGTTGATGGAATTCGTCTTTCTCCTCGGACGAGCGGCATTCTCATAGTTTTATAACATTTTGTTTTTGCAATAGCTAATGAAGTGTGTAGTGGTTGTGTTGTGTGTGTGTGTGTGTGTGTGTGTGTGTGTGTGTGTGTGTTTTCTGCTAATATAATTTGAGATAATTGGGTTTCATAACTCTGTCGACATATCTTTTGATAAACGCATGTTAGCTCAAATTTTAATTATATCAGTCTCGCTTGGTCTCAAATCTTAATTTACCTTCGAAATAGATTTTTCTGCTTGATTTTTGTGTCAGTTTCAGAACTCTGCATATTGAGGCAATGAATGGCGAGTGCCAGATTCTTTCGTGGACTAATTAATTTCTTTCAACCGTTCATAATAATTTGTGAGAAATCGTTGGAGTGTGACGTTAATACGATGTATCGTTGCCAGGCGCTAATTCGTACATTGCGCGATTGAACTGATATAGCCCGTTTGGGAATGGCAGAATATGTGTGCGAATAGTCTGCTGGCATATTAAAAACTTCCGGGGTCAAGTTTTCATCAGCCTGCAGGGTCATTCATTCTCATCCCGGAGACAGTGAGGAAAAACAAACCGGGTTTGCCGAGGTTAAGATGACATAGACCCATGCATCATGTCGAGGACAAGTATATATAATATCCTGCAGTCCTTTACGAAGTCCTATAATAAGTCGATGCTCAGATCAGCCGTTTCTTCAGTATCTTTTCGTAAGGTAATAATAGAGGCTGGGTCTAGGTCTACTGCTACTCGCGGAAGGTCTAGCAACAAGAGGCTTTCCAAGGCCTGCTCAACTCGTCTGAAGTTTGAAGCCCTGCTCACTCGAGTAATTTAGGAACACCACCATGTCACTGACTTATTTGTTGAAGAATGCACATTTTATTTTTTAAATTTAAAATGTCACCAATGTGCTCGGGAAAGGCTTAGCCCACCCTTATTTGACTGATTGTGTTGTTGGAAGGTTTTAGTTTTCATCGACCTCCGTGATGAACGTTGCGAGTTTGTGAGGTCTGTTGCTAGAATTATAAACTGCCACTATTTTCACAATTGCAGTGCAGTTCCAGTTTTCTTGTCATAATAATGTATTATGAATAAGAGGGACATTGCTTGAAATTCTTTTCTTTTTTTTCAGGCGAAAGATCTATTGAAAAGTCTCAGTGTCAAGTTTGAAGCTGTAGAGGTGGACAAGACAGGTGAGTGCTAGGAATGACATGTATGTAAGGTAACCGTTTGTATTGTTAGCACGAGTTAACACTTTGCTGCCTCATCTCGCCGATTGGCGATGTTTACCACCCAGTTTCTTTGGATTTTCCCCGAAATATGATGGTAAAGTGTTTTTTAAGTCTCTCATGGTCGGTAAGATTGAAGAATACCGGACCAGCGGACTGACTTAGCCTTAGCCTAGATCTATGTCTCAACCTTAGGAATTCATAATTTTCCCGTTTTAAAAATCTCTCAATGGAGAATCTCGGACCGGTAGATCTATTTTAGGATGAAATGGTAAAACTTTTGGGGAAAAAAAGGGTGATATTTTCCTCTGAAGTGTCGTGCCTTTTTCAAGCAATAGATCTATGTTTTAGGACATTTGATTTATGTAGTGTTATAAATATAGCGACGTTGTCTTCTGATTATCATTATTGCCATGTCAGTAATTATCTATTTGTTAACCAATGATTTGTAATGGGCTTTTTAATTAAATTTTTTTTTTACAGAAAAGGGCCCAAAGTACCAGACTGCTTTACTGGAATTGTCTGGCCAGAAGACTGTCCCAAATATATTTATCCATGGACAGCATATAGGCAAGTAGTAGTCCTTGTTTTTGATGTTCTTCCTATTTTAAAAAATGTTTCTCTATTCCAGCCTTTGGTAAAACCATTACTGTGTGTAAATTGTTGCCTTTCTTTAAAAAAAAACATTTAAAGATTTTAAAAATAATATATTCATTGTGATTATATATTTTTGTTCATCTACTGTATTTGGTTTTATTAATGGTTTCTCTTAATAGTGGCCAGGAAACTGGTAATGATACTGCTATTAATCAAAGATAGTACATAACAAGATGGGCCACTTCTCTCTTTGAGCCAATTAAAAAAGTGTCCTCAAAATTTGGTGGCGCCCTCTTCACAAAAGCGCACTCTTTGCGAACAGAGTTACCCTACTTGAGTTTTAAAAAATCAAAGTGAAACTAGCAAGTTTTGGGATAAATTTCGGAAGAACGCTTTTTTAAAATGGTTACGCTGACAAAAAACCTCTTCCGGAGGAATGGGTGATGGTTTTCTTTGTTTAATTTGACTTTAGAATGAAAGGCGAGAGGTCATTAAAATATAAAAAACCTAAAACTCCGCACTGAACGTACCCGAACTGCTGATGAACAGCAGTCGATCTGCGCACGCAAGGAGGTGCTATTCCTATTCTTCTTCCGCAAAAACGAAAGAGAGCTTCAAAACAGACTGCAGCGCCATCTGAAGCAAAGAGCATACTTCCTGCGGACACCTTTTTGGCTGAGTGGCCCATCTTGTTATTTACTATCTTTGTATTAATCTATCATATAGATACTGAGAACAAAGGCACATAATAGTATCAAACATCTATCGTCCTTATCTCCCCTTCTTCTTTTTTATGTTTGTTACTCTCTTGTAACACCTGCTCCTTCTTTCCTATCAAACATCTATCGTCCTTATCTCCCCTTCTTCTTTTTTATGTTTGTTACTCTCTTGTAACACCTGCTCCTTCTTTCCTATCAAACATCTATCGTCCTTATCTCCCCTTCTTCTTTTTTATGTTTGTTACTCTCTTGTAACACCTGCTCCTTCTTTCCTATCAAACATCTATCGTCCTTATCTCCCCTTCTTCTTTTTTTATGTTTGTTACTCTCTTGTAACACCTGCTCCTTCTTTCCTATCAAACATCTATCGTCCTTATCACCCCCTCCTTCTTTTTTATGTTTGTTACTCTCTTGTAACACCTCTAATCTTCTGGTGCTCATATGACCTTATGCAGTTGCGAGGGCCGTAAAATCTCTACGAGGCAAAAGACCCCAAAACAATCTAATCTTCTGGTGCTCATATGACGTTATGCAGTTGCGAGCGCCGCAAAACCCTCTACTAAAACTAAATACTTGTGAAAGTTAGACTAGTTGAGTATAATGTGAATATTATTGATTTTCTTGAATGAAAAAATTTCTAGACTCTTGTGTTGCATATATGTGATTTATGTTTTAATGCTTTATGCATGGGTATGGACTGTCTCTGTGGGTGGTTGAAGGGTGCCACTGGTGGTCAGTTATTCTTCTCTACTTTCCCTCTGATGCGTCTGTCTGTCTGTCTGTCTGTCTGTCTGTGTGTCTGTCTGTCTGTCTGTCTGTCTGTCTGTCTGTCTGTCTGTCTGTCTGTCTGTTTGTCTGTCTGTCTGTCTGTTCCCAGCTTTAAATGACCATTATAATTTTGTGTCAGTGTGCTTCTCTTTACTCAAACAGAGTGGACCCGTTTTATGTGATAAGATTGTTTGAATTACTTTTATGTCTTAGGTGGATGCGACGATCTGATGAGTGCTCACTGTAGTGGACAGCTGACGGAAATGATTCAGAACAAGGCAGCCCTGGTCAAGTACGACTACGATCTTGCTGTGATAGGAGGTGGATCAGGAGGTCTGGCTGCTGCAAAGGTAATATCGGGGCTGTTGTTGATTTTTTTTTATACTGCATTTGTGAAAAAGTTATTTTCACTGAAATCCATTTTCAAATCATAAGAGGAGTACAGTTGTTACTCTCTGCGTTCATTTTCTGTTTAACCCCATATCATCAGTTGTTTCTGTTCACGACCACTTGATGAACACTGGTGACTGGCTTTTGTCGTTTACTGGTTAACCGCTCCGTCATAGCACCCAGAAGACCTGAGTTCGATTCCTCTGTGGGGAACATTTTTAATTAAGTATTTAAGTCTATCTGCTTGGACGTTGTATCCCTTTCAGCCCAGTTTGGCCATGACAGGCAGGGTCGAAGCCCACCTCCTTCAATGAATATGGAATTACTAAAAGGCTATTAAATGTAATAGTAATAAATAATGAATTACATTTCCCTTACAAGTTTACTCTCTGAGCTCTGTTTACTGTGTCTTAGGTATTAATTTTTTTTTTTAGCACTGGTGTGAATGTTCTGTATATTTTGTTTCACCAAACAGGAAGCAGCAGCTTTAGGGAAGAAAGTGACGTTGTTTGACTTTGTGAAACCGTCTCCACCAGGAACAACATGGGGTAAATACTGCTAACATTAACTTTTTATAACAGGGTAGCTGTTTTTTTTATTTTGGACTTTAAAGAAAAAAAATGTTTGAAAAGTAAATATGTAGATGTTCTTGCTCTTAAAGTAGCTATTTTGTCAAACCTTGTTGATTTTTAGACAATACTGTTTTAGAGGAGATAAGGGAAGCTCGGAGAGGAAGAGGAGAGCTGGGAAGATTTGAGTGGAGTGTCAAAAGTTGGGTCAGAGGTCGTCTTAACCAACAGGAAGCTTCACAAGAGTGTGTAAGGGGAGAAAAACTACCAGACCTGGACAATCTGTGTCACTACGAACCAGTCAAGACGGCTTTTTTCATCATGCCTTTGTTTGCATTACTGTTAAATTTGCTTGGATATAACCCCTGTCCTTAGCACCCCAGGGAGGAAGACGATCCATGATCATATTACAAATTTTAAAGCCAGACTACTAATTTTTTTATCTGCTGATTACTAAAACATATGCTGGTAGGTGGACAGCCCTGTGTCATCAGTATATGATCATGTTTTTCATGTTTCTAAAACTTCTTTTTTTATTCTCAGGTCTAGGAGGAACCTGTGTAAATGTGGGGTGCATTCCCAAGAAGCTTATGCACAGAGCGTCCATTTTAGGTGAGATTTAAGGGATTCAAAGAAAATTTGTTTGTTTGGGTTTTTTTTGTTGCATTTTGATGTCAGCACTTGAGTATGTGTTCTGTAAAAAAAAATAATTGGGAAATTGATATTGAAAATTATGAAAGTTATGTTACTTGCTAATCAACTTAAAGACAATTTTCCTGTACCTTATTATATATGTAAATATAGACTTGACAAAATTACTAGATTCTTTTCAGGGCTCTTATGTGCAAAGTCTATATTATAACTTTAACTCCTACTCTATGTGGAAATTCATGATTTTATAGCTTTCCTGTCACACTGCACGAACCAAAGAACCAGAATTCTTCCTAAGGCATTGTTTTTTTTTTCTTCCCTCCCCTTCCTTTTTTTGTCCTTGTATTCATCTTTTTCTTGTATTTTGTTTCAGGAGAGGATTTACATGATGCAAGAGAGTTCGGATGGGAGGTGCCAGAGAAAGGTTTGACTTTTTAAAAAAGGAATATATATATTTTTCATAGCTTATTTTTTTGCTGTTGTGCAGTCCCATGTCTTGTTTTACTGTCTACTTTCAGCAAATTTTCACAGTATTACTTTTGAGTCGGTCTTGATTCCAGTAATCTCTGTTACTTTTAGAACTGGGTTTTTAAAAATATGCTCTTTCATCAGTTCGAATGATGGAAACTTATGAAATAGTGGAATATGAACAATGAGTTTCTTCTTCATGAGTTGTATAGATATGTAATTGATTTTTTTCCATCAGTTTTGGGACCTAGGCTGGTTTATGTCTTGTGCTAATAATGGCTAAAGCTGAAGTTATACTGGAATATGAATAGTGCAACAATTAAGGTACATTTTAAAGTTGGTTTGATATTGGAATTTATACTAGATTGTTCGTGTCTTATAGAATTTCATTGGTCTTATTATTCATATATATATATATATATTCATATATATATATATATATATATATATATATATATATATATATATATATATATCTGTAATCGTATCAGAGAACAATATGCCTTTTATTTTTCTTTTCTTCCAGTAAACCACAACTGGCAAAAGATGAGAGAGGCAGTTCAGGTAAGTGACAGCTCATATTATTGTATTTATAAATGTTTAGTCTCAGAGTGGGTGGTTAGCGGGTGCTCTGGTGTTGTTTGCTCCTTTTTCCCCATCAAACATGTATTGTTCATGTCTCAGCTCCTTTATGCTTGTGTTTGGTACTCTCTAGTTATACCTCTCTTCTTTGACACTTATGTGACCAAACTGTGTTGCAAATGCAGTAAAACTCTGATTAAAACATAAAACAAAGTCCCAGGGTTTTTCCCCCCATTGGAGGCATAAAAACGTCAACATTTAAAATAGAAACTATTTTTTAATCTTTGTTTTAAAATAAATGTATCATATTGCCCAATATGTATTAAAAGATTGAATAAATCTTTAGTTGCGAAAGGAACCAACTTTTTTCGCGCGCTCATATGACCGTATGCAGTTGCGAGCACCTTACGGTTCTTACTAAAACGAATAAATCTTTGACATTTTTGTTGTCCTCAAGTGAACTGTCTTTCTTTGATGTTTTCAGGACCACATAGGATCGATGAACTGGGGCTACAGGGTACAGCTGAGAGACAAGAAAGTCTCCTACGTCAATGCCTATGCACAACTTGTTGACCCGCACACTATAAAGGTTTGTCTAGCCTGAAGGCCTTCATTTCTTTATGGAATTTTTTTTTTCAGATTTGAATGCATCAAAAATTCTTCAATGTGTATTAGTGGTCTGAGTGCAAAAATGCTGGATGTGTTTTAGAATGTGTTTGGTAGTTTGGTTTTTTTTTTTGCTTCATGCATCTTGTTTTGTAATTAATTTCAAGATAAATTGCCTCTGTGTTTAGTCCACATGTATAATTTGCTGACCCCTGCAGTCAAGTAAGTACTGCTTGTGAGTAGAATATCATATATTAATGTGCACGTTTAGAGCTAAAATCAAGGCGGATGGTGAGTTACAACAAAAGCAGAATTTCCAAGAGAGCTAAGTTCTAATTTCAGGCAGAAGAAAACTATACTCGTAAGTTGTCGACTTGCGTAGAATCAACTGTGTCTTCTCAATGAAGATGTCTAATAATTACACTAGACGCTAGTGTGAGAGTGATTAAAAAAAAAAGGGTTTTTCCTTCTCTTTCTGCAGGCGACAAAAAAGAACAAGCAGGAAGTGACAGTGACTTTTGACAAAGCCATTATTGCGACAGGAGAGCGACCCAGATACCCTGACATTCCTGGTGCAAAGGAGTACTGTATAACAAGGTGACATTTTTCACATGTTATAGATATATTGTAGGAGCTGACAGAATGAAAAGGTACAGGATGAGTTGTGGTTTAACTGTAATCATGGGTGGTTAGAGGGTGCTCTGGTTTGGTTTGCTCCTACTTTCCTATCAAGCATCTATTGTCCTTATCTCTCTTTCTTTTCTTTTTATGTTACTCTCCAGTAACACTTTTAATCTTTGGCACTTATATGACCTAATTTTGTTGATGTGAGTGTGGTAAAACTCTTACTAAAACTTAAAGAAAAATAAAAACTCAAGTAACTATTATCGCAGTAACTGCACGCACAGTGAAGTTACATCTCTATGTTGTATTTGATTCCAGTGACGATCTGTTTTCGCTGCCCTACTGTCCCGGCAAGACGCTGTGCGTGGGCGCCTCGTACGTGTCCCTGGAGTGTGCGGGCTTCCTGGCCGGCGTTGGTCTGGACACCACTGTCATGGTCCGCTCCATCCTGCTGAGAGGGTTTGACCAGCAGTGTGCCGAGATGATCGGCTCCTACATGAGCAAACACAACGTCAAGTTTGTCAGAGGGGCTGTTCCTACCAAGGTGTGTGAAAGTTTACGGATGGGCACTCATAAAATATGACCTATTTGGGTTGCAAGTACCATTAAGCACTTACGAAAAAAACGAAACAAAACAGAAATGTTTAATGGTGGATTCATCGGCGATTTTTTGGCGTGGTGAAGTCTTTGTTGTGCAGTAGATCTCTGGTCTAGATTATCAAGAGTATGCAGTTAAACTGCTCTAATGTCCACCTGTCCAAGACAATGACCTGTACAAATGACAACAGCCCACTTCTCCTGTTATCACTTTTCTTTAGAGTTTACACTGTCCAAGGGGGCTTTCGTGGCCTAGAGGTTAAGGTGTTGGCCTCTCATTCAAAGGTCCTGGGTTCGAATCCGGGTAGCCACCTAAAAATTTTCTTCTCTAAAATTGTCTCCTTTCACCTCCTTTCCTGCTCTCTAGCAATGTTCTGTTGTCTGCTTTCATTTCCACTTTCTGTCCCCACCCCCTCACCTCCTTTACCCCCTCCTCTGGGCTCCTGACTCTTTCTGCAGCCTTTCTACTGCTACTCCTTGGCTCCTCCTTACTGCTGTCTTTCTGCCACACCCCTGATCTTCTGGTAGGAAAGATCTACACCTAGCCTTCTCGGACAAGGGCGAAAAATCTCGGAGGGCCCGTGTGCAAGTTGCGCACGTTAAAGATCCCTTGGTGGTCTAAATTCGATAAGAGTAGGCTTCGGCCGCCACCCGGGCAAAATTCAAAATTTCCTACCAACTGAAAATATTAGGTGTGTCCCGCGCGCTCATATGACCTATGCAGTTGCGAGCGCCGTAAAACACTATAAAAACAAAACAAACACTGTCCAAGAGGAACACCTGTCTAAGATGGCCACTTTTCTCCTTGACAATGTTTGGTCGTCTTGAACAGGTTTGACAGTATTTGTCTTTGTATTTGTGGGTTGGACTGATGGATTCAGTTTGTGATAGTCTTCTATTGTTAGCTGAGTTTTGTTTTTCAAAGCTGGGGCATTCAGTATCTGTTGTGCTGGTTTCTTCATACATTGATTTAAAAACTGAAGAGTGTGATAGAAATTTAAAGATTGGTAGAGAAAGAATGGATCAAAATTTAAGTAGCAAGTACTTCGTTCCTTTGTCAAAATGTCGTTACAGGCTTGCATCGTGAAAGAATATGTGGTATTGTTTCAGATAGAGCCTGCGGTAAAGAAATGTTTTACTTGCACAAGAGTACACGGCCGATCTATAGTGAGCCGTGTTTCTGTTAGATTGAGCTTGTAGAGTTTATTGATGGTGTTTTCTAGATTGTTTTTTCTCATGGTTGCGTCGTTAGTTGTGAGTTCTTGTTTGATATGTTAAAATTGCACTGGGCTGCGTCATGCCTTTAAAAAATAGTCATACCTCGATATTTATGGATAGTAAAACTTGGTTGTTGAAAACAGAGATTAGTAGTCACTGTTGCTATAATTGTCTTTTATGTTTTTATTCATAAAGACAGTGTAAGATTTTCAGAGCTTTTGTTTGAAAGGCGTCCAATCATTTTCAACCACTTTCCTTATAATAATGTAACACTAAAATAGTTTTTTTTTTTTTTTTGGGAAACGTGATGGTGTGATTTCACTTGTGGGAAGAGGGACGTTCATCATGCCGCGATGGCTGGCCACATGCTTTGTGGTTACATATTGCTACAGCTTCCTAATGAAGTAATTTTGCTGTGTGCTTTTACCCACTGATTTTGTATATTATTTTAAAATACTTCATTTGCATTGTTCAATTTGTTGTTTGGCTGTCAAACATCTATCGTCCAGATCTCTCCTCCTTTTTTTGTGTTTGTTACTCTCTTGTAACACCTAATCTTTGGCATTTGTATGACCTTATTGTGTTGCTAGTGCCGTAAAATTCTTACTAAAACTAAAGACCAGGTTGGACTGTATCTGGTTTTTATGTTGAATGTGTCTCTTGGCCATTGTTTCAGATTGAGCAGATCGAGGAGGGATCACCAGGAAGGTACAGGGTGACGGCTCGCACCACAGACGGCCAGGAAATTGTGGAGGAGTACAACACTGTAAGCTGTTCTCTTCTTGATTGTTGTTTTCCTCTTGTTTTTGCTGTTGTTGTTGAATTGCCTTTGTGGTTATTAATTAGACATACTTTCTCTTTTTTTGTTGTGGTTATTTGCATTTTAATGAAAGTACTACAGTGGAAACCTGATATGACAGGGATGGTGGGAGTAGAGAAAATGTCCTGTTATACCCGATCCCTGTTAAATCAGAAATGCAAGGAAAGTAAGCTTTTGTGGACTAATCCGAATCCAGCTGTACTTATTCATGGGTCGTTTCCTTTGCCACAAGTACCCACGGACAGGGGTTTTGGCACCAACGTTCTCCTTGCCTCCTTAAACCACATCAGAAGAGCTTGTTCCACAGCATCTGCATTGGGTAGTCTCATCTTCTTTCGATCCAGAGCAAACTTTCCATTGGAGTATGCTGCCACTATCTTCTCTCTATCCTTGATAATGATGTGAATCGACCCTTGTGGAAAGTCGAACTGACGACAAATCTCTGCCAGTGGAGCTTGCTTTTTGTCAACAGTCTGGATTATTCCATATTTTTTTGTCAATTGAAAGGCATTTTCTCTTGCGCTTGACATCGTTGGTGACAGTAGACACATTACGTGTGCGTGTTGCTAGGTTTCGGGCTAGATCGAGGTCTGCAGCACACCGCAGCCCTCTCTCGCTTCAGACGCTGCGTGTGCTTGCAGTGGCAGGCTTGCATGGGCTTGCTCCATCACTGCGTTACTCTCTCTCTCTCTCTCTTACTTTTTACACATTGTTAACGAGCCTTTGTCCCTGCTATGTTATTGCCGATAACTTTTAATAGAGACAAAGAGTAGGAAAAATCGGGGATTTAAAATATCCCTGTTATTACTGGATCCCTGTTATTACCGGGCCTGTTATATATGGTTTCCACTGTAGAAGGTTCGCGGGTGCTCTTGTCCCTTCTTTAATACGAACTTATTTTTCTCTTTTTTTTTGTTTTTTTGTTTTTTTGTAGTGGTCACTTGCAACTCTGTGATAAAAAAACAAAAAACTGGGTGGTTCGCAGGTGCTCTTGTCCCTTCTTTAATATGAACTTATATTCTTGTTGTTGTTTTTTTTTTTGTAGTGGTTACTTGCAACTCTGTCATGAAAAAAACTGTGGGTGGTTTGCGGGTGCTCTGGTGTGGTTTTACTCCTTCTTTCCTATCATCAAACATCTATCGTCCTTATCTCTCCTCCTACTTTTTTGTGTTTGTTACTCTATTGTAGCACCTCTAATCTTTGGCACTTATATGACGTAATTGTGTTGCAAGTGCCATTAAGACTCTTACTTAAACAAATAAAATGAATTTCTTGTAGTGTTAACTTGCAACTCTGCGGTGAAAAAACTTACGTTCCAATTGAAATATTATTAAACATTCTTTTAAAGAATTGTGGAGTTCAATAAATTTGTTCGCTGCATGTGCAAAGTTATGTTTTCAACACTATAATATAGTGTTTTTGTGACAACACTAGTCAGTTTGGAAGAGATTGTGGGTGGTTGGCGGGTGCTCTGGTGTTGTTAGCTCCTTCTTTCTTGTTTAACATCTATCATTCTCATCTCTCCTCCCCCGTCTTTTCTTTGTACATTACTATCTAGTAACATGTTTATTCTTCTGAACTAATATGACCTTATTGTTTTGCAAATGTCGTAAAACTCATACTAAACCAGAAGAGAGTGCTGTTTGTTCACGCCAAACAAAATGGGTGGAAGATTGTGTGAGTGGTAAAAGATACTTATAATGCTAGCAGTTTGTAAATGGTTCTCAGGTTGTCAGTTTAACTAAGCAGGCTATCTTCTTTCTCTTCAGATTCTCCTTGCTATTGGCAGAGATCCCTGCACAAAAGGAATCGGCTTGGAGAATGCTGGGGTACAGCTCCATGACAAGTAAGTAATTACCACTGCAGGTAATTTTTTTACGCTTCCATTGACACAATTTAGATCATTTAGGAAGCAGGCTATGACCCTGTCTGTCAGAGCCAACTCAGGTTGTTTTTTGTTTTTACAGCGCTCGCAACTGCATAAGGTCATATGAGCGCGCGGGACACACCTAATATTTTCAGTTGGTAGGAAATTTTGAATTTTGCCCGGGTGGCAGCCGAAGCCTACTCTTATCGATTTTAGACCACCAAGGGATCTTTGATGTGTGCAACTTGCACACGGGCCCTCCGAGATTTTTCGGCCTTGTCCGAGAAGGCTAGGTGTAGATCTTTCCTACCAGAAGATCAGGGGTGTGGCAGAAAGACAGTAGTAAGGAGGAGCCAAGGAGTAACAGTAGAAAGGCTGCAGAAAGAGTCAGGAGCCCAGAGGAGGGGGCAAAGGAGGTGAGGGGGTGGGTGCTGAAAGTGGAAATGAAAGCAGACAACAGAACATTGCTAGAGAGCAGGAAAAAAGGTGAAAAAAGACAATTTTAGAGAAGAAAATTTTTTGGTCGCTACCCGGATTCGAACCCGGGACCTTTGAATGAGAGGCCAACACCTTAACCTCTAGGCCACGAGAGCTCCCAACTCAGGTTGAGTGGGTAGCAAGTTGCAAGCTTCCTAAAAGTGTACCCTGCTTTGAATTAAAAGTCACTGTCTGTGGGAGGGGCTCTGATCTGGTTTGCTCCTTCTTTCTTATCAAACATTTATGGTCTTTATTTCTCCTCTTTAATTTTTGTGTATATTACTTTCTTGTAATACCTGCAATCTTCGGCTCTTATATGATCTGACAATGTGGGTGGTTGGTGGGTGCTCTGGTGTGGTTTGCTCTTTCTTTCCTATCGTACATCTATCAATTTTTTCTCTCCCCCTTTTTAGTGTTTGTTACTCTCTTGTAACACATCTAATCTTCGGCACTTACATGACCTAATGTGCTGTTGCAGATGCTGTAATTTAAAACAAAAACATATGATCTTACAGCTTTACAAGAAGAATGTTTACTAAATAAAAAAAAAAAAAACCCTTTGTCTCCCTTCTTAGAACTCAGAGGGTACTTGTGGATGAGACGGAAGCGACCAATGTCCCCAGCGTGTATGCCATCGGAGACATTGGCGAGGGCAGACCAGAGCTCACACCGGTGGCTATTCAGGCCGGAAAGCTTTTGTCCCAGCGTTTGTTCAAGAATGCAAATGGCTCCTTGGTAAGGTTATAATGTGGTTGTTGCTTTCTTTGGGTCCTTTTTTTTGTGCTGCACACTGGGTAACATTGAAGCTTTTAAGCTAAGCCAACTGCCATAGCTTAGAAAAGATAGGGCTTATTGTACATAGTTTTGATGACATTAATAATTCTTGTGTGGAGTCAGTGCCTTTTCTCTTCTACTTATTGCCATGTAATAGTTAAAATAGTGCTGATTTTTTTGTTTGTTTTTTAGTTCAATTGTTGCTGTCGTCAGATGGAAAGGCTGCCATAAAAAAATAACTAATTTCATGAAAAGGCACTGGATGAAGCTGTCATATTCTGACTCAGGATGTTCCTCAAGTATTTCGCATTGTCTTGAAAACTTGCTTTTCTGAAATGGCATAAGCATTAGTTTATTAATTTCTATTTCTGGTAATAAGTGATAAGCGTGTGTTTGTCAAGTATGTTAGCTGTACAGTAGTACCGTGCAGAATGCAGATCTTGCTCTGGTCAGATTGCATAGATTCTTGGTTGGTGCCTTGATGTTTTCACTCCTTTTTTTCCCTATCAAACGTCTATGGTCTTCTTTATCTCTCCTCTTTCATATTTGTGTTTGTTACTTTCTTGGACCACCTGTAATCTTCGGGCACTTATATGACCTGATTGTATTGCAAGTGCCATAGAACGCTTGATAAATTTTAAAAAAACGTCAAACAAACATCACATGCTGCAGACTTTGTGATTGAAGTTTCTTTAGGCCATTCCCAAAAGGGGGACATTTTTTGTTCTTGCACAGTAGAATTGTAAATGGGCTGATTCGTCAATGTCACACTCATAACTGTGCCTGATCTACAACAGGGAACTGCTGCTTTTTCTTTCCTAATCCTTACTATTGTCATTTTTCCTCTACTTCTATTGTATGTTTGTCACTCTCTTGTGACCCAATATTTCTGGGGTGCCTTGATAGTCGAAGCAGAATTTGTGCTGTTGAAGCTATAGAGGTGAAGAGAGTAAGTCTGATTCCCTGTTAGGACTTCTCTGTTGACATCCACCCCTTGGCGCTCATATGACCTTGTGCAGTTGCGAGCGCTGTAAAACCTCTACTAAAAGAAAAAAAAAAGACTTTGTGACGAAAAATAATTAACTTTTCCTCAATAGGATGTAAAGCGGTCAAAATGGAGATGGGCTTTACCATTTTCTTCACCTAAAGCTCCAACTGTTCCATTGGTATCAAAACTTCAGTTTGAATTTAACATAAACTTTCAAAGAAATAATTTTTGTTTTACACTATGAGTTGTGCTTGCTCAGTGAGGCCCTGTAATGAATTATTTGAAGTTCATTCATTTATACAGTTGAGAAAAGCAGCTATTTTTTTTAAGCTGGAAAAATTGTGTTTTGGTTGAAAAGTGGCACATATTTTTTATGGCCTTTTTCATTTTTGGTCCTCTGCCTGTGAATAGGACAGTTTATTCTGTTATAAATGCAACTGCTCATATTCATATATGTTACTTTTTTGTTTTATGAGTAACGTCTCTTTTTAACTTTCGGGATTCTGTTTGTGTATCATGAATTTTTATTGACAGTTCAGTGCTTACTGAGAGAGTTTACAAAGATTTTTTTCACCTTTTCTTGTTTGATGAAATTAGTATATGTTCCTCAGAATGTTTTGGAACTGTTGTATTAGTGGCTTCAAAACACCAGTGAGCTTGAGTCTTAAAAATTCACACCAGTGAGCTTGATTTTTAAAAATCTTTGCTCTTCAAAAAAAATTTTTCTGTGCATTTTTGAAGAAAGGTTATGTCTTGCTTGTGTGTGAATGCTACTTTTCCTCATGTTAAAACAGGCTCGAAAAGTATCGGGGGGAAAAATTATTTGTTTGCTTATAATGAAGGTGAAGGCTGCTATAAAATGTAGGCCTTCCCTTTTTTTTTTGGTGCTGCACATTGAAGCTTTTAAGCTAAGTCAACTCAAATGCCATAGATTAAAAAAGATAGGGCTTATTGTAGATAGTTTTGATGACATTAGTCATTTTTATTGTGTGTGGAGTCAGTGCTGTAGTTGAGTCCTATGGCTACCATTTTGTCGGAATACATAAGTGGTATAGTGATATATGTATTGCCTGTCTTTTCTATTCTCTCCTGTATCGGTATACTAGTTCTCTGCTCTTCAGTTTGTAAGTTTGAGAGAATTGTTTGTGGGGCGGTTGGTGGGTGCTTTGGTGTGGTTTGCTCCTTGTTTCTTCTCAAACATGTATTGTCCTCATCTCTCCTCCATCTTTTTTGTGTTTGTCACTCTCTTGCAACACCTCAAATCTGTGGCACTTATGTGACCTAATTGTGTCCCAAGTACGGTAAAACGCTCACTGAAGCAAGAGAATTCTTTTGAGCTGTGCGGGAGTTTGTCATTATTTCTTGAATTGTTAGTTGTTGTTTGATGAAGCATAGAAATGTGTTTGAATTCAGTATAGGCACTCTTTCCTTCTAAATAATGCCTACCCGGTACATAAATCTATAAATGTGAAAGTTATTTTTGGTTTGTTTTGTGTGCAGGTTGACTACAGAAACATTGCAACAACTGTGTTCACCCCATTGGAGTATGGGTGCATTGGCTACTCAGAAGAAGCTGCTATTGAACAGTTTGGAGAGGAAAACATTGAGGTATGGCTAGAGAATCTTTTCAGCTCACAAACAAGCATCGGCCGTGGTGCTCTATTGTCTCATGTCTGGCTTTAGTAGTTCTGGGAATGCACAAAAGTTCTTTCAATTAGAAAGTCAGTCAGTTGTCTTTTATAGAGGGCACACACTTTTGTTTTGTGGTCTCATTTTGTTCTTGAATTGAAATGGTAACATGTTAGTCACCACAAGAATATTGGTCGGATGTCGTTAGTCCTTGGGATGAGATTTTGCCGAATAAAGTTTAAAAAAAAAAAAATCAATTTATGATGGAAAATGAGTTCTAATCTTCATTGATTTGGTATGTTCTGAGAATAGAATACTTGAAAAATATCAGGAAATGTGTTTTTGAAAAAATAATCTGACATCACCTGTTCTGATGCTGTCGTTGTTATCGATTGAGAATTCTGATGTTGTCAGTGAGATATGAATAGGTCGGTGAAAATTGTTTCAAGCAACGGGAATAAGTATATTTGTTCATAGCTATGATAAAATAAAGTTCCTTAAATAAATCTCAACAGCAGAACCATCCTACCATTTCTCAATGGAGATTCGTATGGGTTATTTTTTAATTTTTAATTTTTTTTTAAAACCTTAGAATTGACGGATTGAAATTCTCTTCCCCCCCCCCCAGTGTGTGAGAATTGTTTTATTTTTCTTCATTTTTTCTTTTCCCCAGGTGTACCACAGCTACTTCATGCCTCTTGAGTGGACCGTTCCTCACAAGGAAGAGAACACTTGCTATGCAAAACTGATCTGCAACATAGCTGACAATGTAAGTCATTTGGGTGGTGAATTGGTTTGTACTTGATAAGGATCTTTTCATTGCACTGGAAATTGTTTTTGATGTAAAATCTGCACGTACTGTACTTTAAAAAATAATAACAGCATAGGGAAGGATATACAATGAGACATCATTTTCAGATTTCTTTTTTTTTTTATAGTATAGGGATAGGAAATGGTGAAACAGTAGTCTGAAAAGTTTTAAGAAACAAGGTTCTGTGGATATGCTTTCTCCAAAGGCGCTAAAATTGAATGTTCATTCATGGTGGAGTAAAGATGGTCAGGTTTTCACTTTAAAAAAAAAGACTTGACTTAAAAAAAAAAAAATAATTAAGAAACTTCAGTAACATTTTATTTCTTTGGCCTATGTTTTCTTTGGCATTTTCTTTTTCATAATGTACTCCCAGTTTTATTTCAACTGTAGTCATAATTGTTCTAAATTGATCATTGTTCCAGGAACGGGTGATAGGCTTCCATGTGCTTGGGCCAAATGCAGGGGAAATCACTCAGGGCTACGCCGTGGCCATGAGGAAGGGTGCCACCAAGGAGGACTTTGATGCCACCATTGGCATTCATCCGACGTGCAGTGAGGTACGAATTTTTTCTTTTTCTTTTTTATATTTTGAGTCAACTCGTTTGTTAACGAATGTCCAGACATTGAAGTGAAGAAAGAAATTTTTTTTTTTTTTTTGGGTTCGGAGCTTGTCATTTTGTTTTGGGCAGATTATTATAGTATGAAATCATCTGTTGCGCATATTCTGAAAAAGTAAGTAAGAAGATTGCTTTTTTTAAGGCTTAATTTTGTGAATCCTTGACATTTTGAAATGTATTTAGCACTTGCTTCCAGCAAGTAAGAAAAATATTTCGACAGACATGTTTGGTAAAATATGTCACCATCACTTTGTTGCTCATAAGGCAAGGCATTTTGAAACGTTTGTTTTGTTTTGTTCCTCGCTGAGGATTTAACTTCCTTTGTAGTTTTTGTTTTCAATATTATCCTAGTGACAGTTTAAAGTTTAAAGGTATAAAACAAGTTTGGAATAATTTACCTGCATCGTCTGTCACTGTAAACGTCGTACCTGTACCTCATGTTTTGTTGCATCCAGTTCCTGTAACAAAAATATTTTGTCCCGAATTATTGACTGAATTTATTTGAAAATGTTGTTTGAACGAGTGTCTCTGTTTTCTCCACAGACTTTGACAACTCTCTCTGTGACCAAAAGAAGTGGCGCTTCTGCTGAAGTTACTGGCTGCTGAGGTTAATTTCCTACTGCTAAGCTGTAGCACACAGCAGTTGTGTTGGTAGAGAGAGGGAGGCGTAATTCATAATTCAGGTCTACAAATACCTTCTGCTACCCTCCAGGGTTGGAATTCGTTTTTCATACCAATGGGGGGGGTGGCAAAATCCGTTTTCTTTGGAATATCTAGAAAGGTATGTAGACCATGTCTCCCTGTTACCAACATGGCTGTAGTGCTACAGAAAGCAGTAGGGTTATTTTGTTTTCTTTTGAGGGAAAAACCCTTGTGTCGAGCACTCTTGTACGGGTGCTGTATGACGGTTCTTTCCATAAGCCTCGAGTCTTGGGGTGGATGGGACCCGACGCTGGCACATTGGTTCTTCTTGTTGGGAGAGTGGTTCTGCGACAGAAACTGATCCTGCGCATTCATCAAGTGTCCATGATGGCTGCATCGTGGCGACCTTGTGTGTGACTGTGACAAACGACGACAAGCTTGGAACGAATACTTTAATTAGAGGAGTTCTTTCCTCAGGCTTGCATGCTTTCTGACAGTGTTTTTCCTGAAAGCCGAGTGACGAATGATACACGACTGTTTGCGTATACCTCAATGAAGAGTTTCTCTCTCAGGACCACGGCTTATTTGATCCGCATATGTTTTGAATGTTATATCATGTTATGTGTGCAAGGGCTTCTATTACAGCCAGATTTGTGACCGTCCAAACTTGGATGTTGTCTGCTGGTTTTGATGGTCGTTGTGCACCTCTGAAAGAAGTGAGAATGTGTTACATACTGTCAAAAGAATGTCTGTGAGCTAGGTTTGTGAAAAGGTAACATGCTGGTGAAGTTTTTATCCATATTAACTCCGCATATGAGCGGCTTGTCATGAAAGGTAAATTGAGCAAAAGTATATACTCTTTTTTTGGGAGCAATTTATCGTGGATACTTTTTTTATGGTCTTTATTTTGACAAAATTTCCGGTCTTCGAAAAATATTGCTTTTGAACATCAGACATATGTCAGTTCTTTAGATGTGTGTAGAATCTGATGTCTTTACTTCTTTTATAATTCTGTAACTTTATCAAAGTAAAAAAAACCAAACTCCAGTTATGTTCTGGCCCTTGAATTTGATACAGCTAGCTGTAGCTGTAGCTCGTCATGGACAGGGTCAAAAGTTTTCGAGTGACTGTCTGATTGTTATTTCTATTACAAAAGGTTTTGCTACGGACTTGTCATACTGATGCATGAATTGTTAGGATAACAGAATTTATTTTTTTCATTTATTTAGATTTTTGGTTTCTTTTTTTTTTAAAGTTTCAGCTGTTGTTGTCGATGACTTTAGCTTCATTTGTGTAGTAAGCTTATTGAACAGGCAACTAGCCTTTGCTTGTTATAGTATTAATTTATTTTATTTTTTTGACAAAGATACAATAAAAGCAACGGTTGTTATTCCTTTACAATAAGGCACTCAGTTGTTCATGGTTGCGTTTTGCGATGGTGTTTTTCATCATATATCCATGTTTCAAGTTGGTGGGTGCTCTAGTGTGGTTGCTCTTTCTTTCCTATCAAACATCTATCGTCTTTATCTCTCCTTCTTTTTTTGTGTTTGTTACTCTCTCGTAACACTTCTAATCTCCCGGTACTTATAATGACCTGATTGTGTGTGTTGCAAGTGCCGTAAAACTCTTACTGAAAAATTGTTTTTGAGTCAGTATGCATCCTATCACCATCAACCGTTCATAGCCCAGTGAGACCATGCTGTTTTGAGTAGCATATGGTGAGTCAGTCGCTTTTAAGACAAGGGGGCTATCCCGAAAAATGCTGTTTTGAGAAAATCGAAGGTATAGTCTTTGCCCCTTGTTGAGTTTCTTTAAAATACCAGGAGAGTTTCCTCTATAACCAAACAAATATACCCACCAATGAAACCAAACTTCTCCTATAGGTAGGGCAAAGCCCACTTTTGGTGTAGGTCAAGATTTTTGGAAACCCATAAAATCTTGGTTTGCCCGCTTTTCCTAAAAAGCGACCAAATGTACTATACTCATTATATCTGGGAGAATGGGGAAGTGAGAGTTCAGCTTGTTAATTTATTTTAAGACCATCAGGAGTGAAAAAATGTAGGCACAGTGTGAGGTGAAAGTGTCAACAGTTATGTACCTGTGGTAGGGTTTTTTGTTTGTTTATTTTTGTGTTATTTTCATGTTGCAAATATTAACTTTAACAGTTTTTCAAACATTCTTTTAGTTTTAAATTCTCTCCATAATAGACACCGTTTTTAGTGTTTTTCAAATAGATCTGTAATGTTTCAAGTTCTTTTCTTTTTAGTAGTTTTCGTAGAAAGAAATATAATTGACATGGCTTTAATTAATGTCGTCACCGTCTTTGTCTAAAACCCTGGTGATGGGAAAAAATATCCTGATGCTGACGTGCCTGCATATAATATAACATCAACTGTTGATCAGTTTTGTTACTAAATATCCATTTTTGGGGGGTTATTTTACAACTTGTAATGAGCCATGCTGTTATTGCTTAGTAACTAGAAAGAGAATCTTTACCAAATTTTGTTATTATATTTCTTTAACAAGTGGTTCCAATTGGGGACTTTTATTGCATATATTATGAATGATATGAAAATTATATACCTTAGCAGAAAAAGGAAAGATGCTCTTTTAGTCCCTTTAGAACTTCAGTGAGATCAAGTAGCCTGGAAGCTTTGTCGATTTGAAAGATCTTGATGCATGTTTTGTTTCAACCAAAATCTGTTATATTTTCATGCACTTTAACATTAAACATAAAATTACACTCAAAATTTGTTCTTCTTTGTTGTACTAATACACACAATTTTGTATTGATAGTTTTTCAGGATCCATCTATACAGTCAGTACAACACGGATGGCTCAAATTTTTCGGGACCAGCCTGTGTAGTTCGAGAGATCTGTTTTAAAAAAGTTTTAGGAGAGGTTTTACGGCGCTCGCAACTGCATAAGGTCATATGAGCGCCAGAAGATCAGAGGTTTTACAAGAGAGTAACAAACATAAAAAAGAAGAAGGGGGGATAAGGAAGATAGATATTTGATAGGAAAGAAGAAGCAAATCACACCAGAGCACCCGCCAACCACCAACAGAGATCTGTTGTTCAAGGGCTATCTTACAAATATAAAGAAGAAGAAAAACCTGAGACTGCAGGCACAGTTTGATGGATGCGTGATTTCAAGTCTTCTGTGTTCGACACATCCGTGATGGAGTTATGAATTTAATTTCTACTACGCTCTGACTCCTTCAAAAAGCCAATATGATAAAGAAGAAATACAGTAGAAATTGTCTAACCTGGCCACCCATTGCCGAGGAGAAAAGTGTGATTGTCTTAGTCTTGCACATTTAGACGCATGGGGGAACTGGGAAGTGGTGGTTTGTACAGACGATTGTCTTGGGCAGGCGGCTCTTAGAGTTAAAGTTTGGGTGGTTGGCAGGTGCTCTGGTGTGGTTTGCTCCTTCTTTCCTATCAAACATCTATCGTCCTGATCTCTCCTCCTTCTGTTTCATGTTTGTTACTCTCTTATAACACCTCTAATCTTCGGCACTTATATGACCTTATCGTGTTGCAAGTGCCGTAAAACTCTTACTAAAACTAAAAAAGAGTTAAATCAGGTTCAACTGTATGTGTGCATTAGTAGTCAAACCTCTTTGTTCAGCCCCCCTCCCCCCCACTGGTATACGGCTAGACCCACATACCACCTGGTTTTGCCAATGTAGGCCTACCAAAAGGAGTGCCTATATAAACAGCATTTTTACCCCTTCACACCACCATCCGTCTGAGTTGTATGGTCCTTATAAAAATTTAACTCATGTAAATTTGCCCCCCCCCCCCCCCCCCCCCCATAACGCCAGTGAACTGACCCCTAGAAATACACACTACACATGGCGCACAACACCCACTGGTTGGCTACTTGATAATCTTTCTCCCATGAGAAAGACAAAGATAGAGAGAGAAGACTTGGTTCTGCATGCATGTACATGTATATCACCAACAAAAAAAGCACTTCGCTGTCTCAGAGCTATTTTGTCCAAAGGTCCTCTTTATTTAAGTTATACTTTGGACAAAATAGTTCTGAGGCGACGACTTTTCCAACAGATCACATAGCAGAATCATGTTCCTGGACATTGGGCAGTTGGGGCTTTGAAATAGAGGAGCCCCATTGAACAGCCAGCCCCGTTATTCTGGCAACTTCATGCTCGTCCAAAGGGTGGCGGTATAACGAGGTTTGACTGTACAGGCGTAAGTGTAATCATAAATCAAATCACAAAATTTGGAAATCTCAACTGTTGGGTCCGGACTTGATTTCTATGTGTGCCTGTGATTTAATTGTAACTGTATGCAACTCATTTCAAAGCCAAAGCCAAAATTTCACAGTGTGCCAGTACTCCTTGTTTTTTTCCCTATGATCCACTTTCTCTGTCAGAAATGTGCTATTGATAAATATTCAAAATAATTTTTGTTCATGGCGTCTGTGGTGTAGCAGTGTAGCGGATAAGTGTTTCATTATTGCACACAAGAGATCCGAGTTCGATCTGTCGGAAATTATGTGCTAGTGATACATATTCCGACTTTTTTTATTGGCATCTGTGGTGTAGCGGTTAAGCACTTCACTGTTGCACACAAGAGACCTGAGTTCGATCTGTTGGAACTTATGTGTAAAGGCCCGGTTACACGTAACGATAAATTGACTGTACAAAAACTGGACGATCTAGCGATCATACGATAAATCGTCAGGTACAACCACAAAATTGTACAAAATTTGGACGATTGAACGATGGTTTGGAGACTCGGTCGAGAAGCCAAGTGCTGCTTTATATTTTCCGTGCGATCACGGTCAGATTTGAGGGAGACGCGCTGTGACGTAGATTCACATTGAAGTTTGCCGCCGCGCAGAACTAAAGTCGGGGCTCAAAATTTTAAAAATAATTATCGTAGGTAAAAACTGATTTCTTATTCGGAGTCAGCGTCTTCAAATAAGCAAAGTTATACGCATAGAACCTGATTTGGTGTGTTATTGTGTATATTTTAGCAATTTTATTATTTAGTGGATCGTAAAATGTGAAGTGCATCAAGGTCACTCGGTGCGTTGCACGTCTGCAGTCAAGTCAAAGCTTCTCTTTCTACTACTACACACAACACGGTACAGTATGGCCAACCTTTTCTAAAGAACTGCTCTGATCAAAATGCACAGGGGAGAGGGGTGGGGGGCTCTCGTGATCTAGAGGTACGGTGTTCGCCCTTTCATTCATTAGGTCCAGAGCTCGAAACCTTCACTGTGCTTCCCAGGCTAATCGCTGTCTTCGCAAAGACACATGGTGGCTTTGTGACGAGGAATCTCCTCGATCGAAAGAAAACTGGACGATAGATTGGAATGTGTAAACAGACAACACAGTTCGATAAAATGGACAGTCCTGTCATACGACAAATCTGATATAATTTATCGTTGCGTGTAACCGGGGCTTTATTGATAAATATTGCAACTACTTTTTTCACCAGTGTCTGTGGTGTAGCGGTTAAGTGCTTCACTATTGCACACAGGAGACCCGAGTTCGATCCCAGAGCAGAGAGAAGTTTTATCGAGCATCTCCGTCTTTCTCCTGGGATGTTGATCATGTTGTCTCCCTCTAAGCTCGGGTTGGCCCTGACAGTAGGCATGGTTGAAGCCAGCCTCCCAAATGATTTGAATTGTGTCTTTGGGGGTGATAAACACCTGCATCAAAAATATATTACAGAATTAATTTTACACTATTTTAACACTTTGCCGCCTCATCTCGCCGATTGGCGATGTTTACCACCCCGTTTCTTTGGATTTTCCCCAAAATATGATGGCAAAGTGTTGGTGGGTGGTTGGCGGGTGCTCTGGTGTGGTTTGCTCCTTCTTTTCTATACTATCAAACATCCACTATGGTCCTTATTTCTCCTTTTTTTTGGTCGTTGTTACTCTCTTGTAACACTCTCTTCAGCACTTATGATACGATCTAATTGTGTTGCAAGTACTGAGCGGCTGGTTGGGGGGGGGGGGGCACCACTGGTAGGTTCTGCTTCTTTACTTTCCCTCTGTTGTTTCTGTCTATCTCAATCCGTCTGACTTTTTCCCAGCACTAAATGATCATTATTGTGTTGATGTGCTTCTCTTTACTCAAACAAACAAAACAGCAAGTGGTGTAAAACTAAAACAAAAAGAAAAATCCCCTATTGCAGGGTGAGAAGGGGAGAGATAATGAAAAGATGACAATGACATGCAAATTACAACTTTTTAACAATGTCAATGTTCCTCGGGTAAAACTGATTTGATTGATGAATGAATGAGGAGGAAAGACCAGAAGCTTTGAAAATTCAACTTTCTGTATTTACATTGTAAATAATATACTTCATCATCTAATAATAAGTACATTTCTATAGTGCCCACAGCCCAACTGAGCTCCAGGCGCTTTGCATACCCGGTAGTGAAATTAGTCATTCAAGCTCATAAAATTATTCACATTCATCTATAAACACACATTAACACACACTTACAGTTGCACGTACTCACACATACGTGCACAGACACAGAAGCACACCAGTAAACACACAATCAGTTAACCTTCCCCATTCATCAAAATTAAAAGCAAATTCAAGCATTCCTAGCACCATAAATAGGTCAACAGGTCAGCACCGCTGAACCAAAATGGTGACCAACTGATGGCTTCCCATAACCGAATTATTTAATTGCTTTTGCCTTTGATCTAGGAGACAAATTTCAATTAAATTTCACATAAAAGACCAAGGATGTCAGCATCTAAATTTAGAGTGGAGGAATGTTCTTATTTCAAAGCCTACACTAAAAGCAGGTGTTTCAGGCCAGTAAAAGCCTTGGCAACATGATGGGAAGGCCGGTTTATTATTTTTATTATAGTAGAGGGTTTTTCGGCGCTCGCAACTGTATAATGTCATATGGGCGCCAAGGGGTGGGTGTCAACAAAGAAGTCTTTACAGGGAATCAGACTTACTTTGCTCACCTCTCTAGTTTCAACAGCACAAGGTCCGCTTCAACTATCAAGGCGCCCCGAAAATAGCAAGTCACAAGAGTGTGACAAAAAGAAGTAGAGGAAAATGACAAAAGTAAGGATTAGGAAAGAAAAAGCAGCAGTTCCCTGTTATAGATCAGGCACAGTTATGAGCGTGACATGAATCAGCCCATTTACAATTTTACTGTGCTTGAACGAAAAATGTCCCTCTTTTGGGAATGGCCTAAAGACAGTGGCACTGCCCCGGGGGTTAAGGCCGGTTTAGGCCGGTACGGCTCAAAAAGGGATAATTAAATAGGAAACTTCACAAAAAACATAGACAGTGACACTAAAATAAAACTATAGTCATCATAATCCATCTGCCCAAAAGCTATTTCCATGAATTTTCAGCTTTTTGGCTTTGGTCTTGTTAAGTGCAGCATTGGGCAACGCTCTTCGAAAGAACTGTAAGTCCTGGCGAGACAGATGGTCTGCCAGCTGGTTGCGATCTCGCTGCAGCCAGACCGCTTTCAGCTGGAGGAAATAAACGCTGCGAGTGAACTGTAGCACCTGGATCAAATAGTCGTTGGAGTCCACACACATGTCACTAGTCACAGATGTGTTGCCATAGGTGTTCACCATGCAGACCGACGTCTGAGAATAATAAAAAAGAAAAATCAAAACAAAACAAACATGAGCTCCAGAACGGGTAGGCCTTCCCAGAAAAAGAATTAAAATACTAACTACAAATGAAAAGAAAAAGCAATCAACAATGGAAATTGGGTGAAACAGCGGTCTGAAATAGATCCTTCAGAGAGTCAGTCCTTCTTTGAGAAGCAATGACATATAACAATTCCGTCTATCAATACGTACTACGTGTGGCACTGTGGTGAAATCAGGCACTCGCCAAAATTACGAAATCAAAGAAACCAGCATTTTCTCGTCCGTTGGGCAATTTTTATTGATTTTATGTTCTATTCAACACTTTTTATGTCCGTGAGAAACATTTTTGTACAGATTTTATGGTAAGATATTGATCAAAGGCACAACAAATGTGTTTTTGCAGTTTTCAAGGACACTCAAGCTTTGCAAATCACCAAACTTTGATGTCTATTTTCTCTGTAATGTCTGACTCCAGGCGACCCCTACCTTCTTCAACTGAAAATATCTTGATTTTTTTTCAAGGTAGATGGGCATTATTTTCATCCAAAGCAAGACAAATGAACAGATGATACCACCAAGAACTCCATACACCCAAAAATTGACCGGCACCTGATTCCACTTAATCCTGACACACATGCATCGCGTAACATGTGATCATGCTAAATTTGAAAACTCAGCTAGACCTTACACAACAACTTGAACATTTTTTTCTTGCTGTGATAGTTACTGAATAAAGTAGACGGTGGCCTAGTGGTTAGGCTCTCGGACCCGCAACCGTAAGGTCGTGGGTTCGAATCCCGTCAAGGGCCCGACGTTGTGTCCTTGGGAAAGGCACTTTACACGAATTTTCCTCACTTCACCCAGGTGGGAATGGGTACCCGGCTATAGACAGCGAAAGATCTTGTCAGTTTGTTAGTGTTTGAGCGCTTAATCGGCTGCTTGCACTGTATGCTTCCCGGGAAGCTGAGAATGTTTCGGAGTGTTCTATGGTCTGCTGGGGTAATAATATAGTGTAAAGCGCATAGAGCCTGCTGCTGAGGGGGATATGCGCTATACAAATGCTATCTATTATTATTATTATTAGACACAATGCCAATGATTTATCTGAACTCTAGCTCTTAGTCTACCTGACCCATCTATTGGTCAGGCCTTGGCAGAAATGTTAAAGTAAGCAACTCTTTGACCTCAGACTAGAGATGGAAAGAAAGGGACGAGCTTGTTGAACTAATTTATTTTCATTCATTTGTTCTTTTTCCTTGGTTTTCACAATTATATTCACAAACAAGAATAGACAAAATTAAGGCCCAATTATCTCTTATGAGCCAAGAAACTATGAAAAAGAAGACACTGGGAAAAGAAAAATGTACAATCAGTACAAAAAATGAAAAGAGAAAGCAGTCAATGTTTTGGAAACTGAGTTAAAAAGTGGTCAGAAAACGATCTTTAAGAGAGTACAAAAAGTATTTATCTGCAACCTTAGGGTTGACTTTTACTTTCTAGTGTAATTGATGTTGCAGTCATAATTGTTTATAAACTATTTTTACCCCCATCAATACTAATCTTACATGACTTGAGCCATTAACACTAGCACGGCACCCTAAGAAGTGACACAAAACCAAAAAAATAAAATAAAATAATTTCTAAAAACTTAAAAAGATATTAGATCTATGCCAAGAAAAGACTGAAAGAAAAAAAGCACATTACTCACACACAACTCACCATGTTATCGCTGAAAATCAACACTTTTTTGTGGCGTAACTTCTTCTTCCAGGAAAAGACAGCAGTTACAAGGGCAAACAGCTCCGCTTGAGTCGAGTGCAAGTATTGGCCATTCTTAGTGCACAGTTTGTGAAGGACGTTCGGTTGATTTTTCCAGCATTCACTTATCCAGCTAACCTGCAAAGTATACAGAATTATTCAGACAATTATCTTATCTTTTCAAATTATTTTTAAAATTTTTGTTAGGTACTTCTTTACTTTTACTTAATCTCTCTCTTTCATGAGAGCGAGTGGCAGGTGGGTGCTCGGGTGTGGTTTGCTCCTTCTTTCCTGTCAAACACTTATCCTTATCTCTCCTTTTTTTCTTTGTACATTCTCTCCAGTTAAACCTCTATTCTTTGGCACATATATGACTTATTTATGTTGCAAGTGCTGTAAAACTCTGAAGTCTGAGAGAAAAAAAAACCCCAAACATACATTGAATGTCGCAGCAACAGCAGAAACGCACAAAGCATGCCAATGGCTCGATTTCTCTGATGTTGAGCTAAACGTATTATCTTTTTTGGGGGACAAGGATCAAATTTTACTGTGAATTTTAATAAACACAGACCTAAACTTCATTTTTTTTAAAAAGGATACCAAAAAATCTGCTTTGTGGTCAGGATAAAATGCCAGTTTTCTATATTTTGACATTGGTGCTGTGAACACCGATTCAAGCATCAAAATGTTTTTCTTATAACATGGCCTACTTTTAGACTACTTACCATTATTCACGTATCAAGACTCAAAAGACTAGATTGTTTACACAATCAAAAAGTGGTACCATTTTTTTTTGGATTGCCAGTATATTATATTTCCATAGAGGGTAAGAATCCGAGAAGTAACTCATTTTGTCAGCATGCCTCACATTTACCTAATAACTAAGTGTTCATCATAGTATAGACTACATTAGGAAGCTACCTTTTGCGTGTCTTTCTGAAGTAAGTAAGCCCCAAAACCATCATTGGAAGCATCACAAAAGATCTCGGCATCAGCTTCAAACTCTGCAACATCGTCCGAGTTCCACAGCAGAGATTGACTCCCCCATTGCTTCAATGTCTCGTTGACAATGTGGTGCTCCAAAGTCAGTCCACACACTTGGTTGTTACATTTGGTCAGCAGGTCATACAGCTGGGAAAAAACCCCCAGGTAAGTAATATAGTATTTTAGTTTTAGTAAGAGTTTTACAGCACTTGCAACACAATAAGGTCGTATAAGTGCCGAAGATTAGGGGTGTCACAAGAGAGTAACAAACACAAAACAGAAGGAGGGGAGATAAGGACGATAGATGTTTGATAGGAGAGAAGGAGCAAACCACACCAGTGTAAAGCTATCAAGTGGTAGTATGCGTAATACAAGTGCTATTTATTATTATTAAGTAATGACTACATGTATTAGAAATGAAAACCCAAATGAAATACTTCCTGCCTCTGATCGAAGCTAGTAGTTATTTTACCACTGTGTCCCTCTTATTCCTAAAAAAAAAATCAAGTGTGAATTGATCCACTTAAAATAACAGTAAAGTTTTCTGCAAGAGCTACAAAATAAAAAGCAAGAATCCGATGAAACAGATGTCCTGAACTGCTCTTTCCAAAGGGGAACATCATCACTGTTTCATTCATTTATTCCCCCCTCCGGAAAAAACAACAACCCAAAAACCAAAAGAAGAAACAAAAATGAACAAATAATATCTAATGTGAACGAAAACGAACTCCAAAATAATAACTAAAATTACAAAAATAAATGAAAAGAAAAACAAACCTACCCTCTCAAAAAAAGAAAAAAACCCAACAACAAACAATTGAAACAACCTACCTAAACTTGACAATAAAAACACACATCACAAAGACTGGGGACTGTATAAACAAAAATCCACCTAGGAATACTTTGAAGCAGTACCACATGCAAGTCAGGTAAAATGATTAACTAATCACCGCACTTATATGACCTAATTGTGTTGCAAGAGCCGTAAAACTTTAACCAAAACTTTAAAATTTTTAAATGATTTAATCAGCTGACAGTGTCCCTTGTTAAGTGATAAACTTTATAGCATTCAAACACAATCCATTATAACAGAGTAAAAGTTTCTTTTTCTTTCTTTGTTTTTCTCCTACTAAAATCTCAGATTGTAACAGGCAATTTTCCTACCTTTAATTTTGTTGCCACAGCCATGTAGCCAACCATCTGAGCAGAAGGCAGAGACACACCATAGCTGTACACAGAGAAAGGGAGAGGCCAGCCCACATGTACCGTACACTTCCATTTCAGATCCTTTGAGAGACGTTCTTTGTCCATCGAGCGACCGACTTCGTCAACAAGAGGACCAGAGCTCATTGAACTGTCGATCTCAAGCGTGGAAGGCTCAAAGTCCAACAGCCTGTTCGTGTCATCCATAAGATTTTTAAGAGTAACCGACTTTTGCAAAGAATTATCTCTGTCATTGCCTGAGAATAATTTTTCAGATTCTTTCTTCATGTCATGAGATGTGTTATATCCTTGGCCCTTATAAGTTTCAAAACAGTCCTCAGTCAACACTTTCTTAGTGTCATTCTCCATTTGCTGACATCTTTTCAGCCTTTTTCTCTGTTCTGCAGGCACTGCTTTGTGATTAATCGTGAAAATATCTCCCTCTCTCCGGCCCTTTAACTGTTCAAGCACAATTTTCGACCCCCGACCTCTGGAACTCCCCACGGTAATTTCACCGTATCTGGCCAGTTGATCAAGCATGCTCACGACTTGGTCACACTTAAGAGGCGTCCATCTGCCATCATTGCCTCGACAAATGAGGCCCACTTTCTGAGAACAAATTTGAAAGAAAAACAAAAGAATTTAGAGCACATTTCAACTTTTAGTCGTTAAGTGAAAGAATATTTTGTGGCATCATGGTGAAATCAGATGTTTTTCAAAATAATGGAATCGTAGAAATCAACTGTTTCCGCCCTTGGGCAATTCTTAACTACTTTTTTTTGTTTTGGGCTCAACATCTTTTAGGTCCATTTAAAAACACATTGCTGCGCGTATTTTACTGAAAAGTATCGATCAAAGGATTAAAATACGTAAATTCTCAGATTTCATGGTGTCACTACAGCTTTGAAAGTCACCAAACTTTGGCCATTTCCTCATTAATTTCACTTCTGATACTAGATGACCCCCACCTCTTTCAATGGCAAATATATATTTACTTCTATTCAGGGTAGATGGATATTCCTTCATCAACCACGAGGTTAATGAACGAGTTTAAAGATTATACAATTAATCCCAAAAATTGATGAGCATCTGATTTCATTGTGTCGTGACACATATCTTGTTATTGGTGTCTGATATCAGAAGGCTTTTTAAAGGCAAATAATGAAAGGGAAGAGAAGTGAAAGTAGAAGAGAGTAGACAACCACACAAAGAAAATGGAAAGTTCTCTATGAGCATAACGTACAAACAAACAAACCAATAAGGAGACAGCACAGAAAAAAAGAGGCAAGCTGACAGATATATATGTCACTAGTCATTCACCTTGCATTATTTATGTACAGTGTTTTACAAACCTTCAATTCAACGCATAACAGCAGATAGGCCCTTCTTACGGCTTCTTCTTTCACTGGGTGCATCCCTGTACAACCTATCTTCACTGGCCAGTAGAGTGATAGTGAGGCTTTCCAATAGAATCCTTTCAGGTGACTTGTTACACAAGGAGAGCAAGACGAAATCACACCTGCTGCAATAAATGGTGAGACTGTCTCTCTCACAAGGTCTTCTGCTTCGCCATATTCTTTGGTCAGCAAGCCTGCTGCAAAGGGTATAAAAAGGAATTGCTCAGTAACATAAAGAAAGACTTTATAAGATGATATATATGGTGGTTTCACAGTCATTGAAACAAATAAGCTTAACAACTAGATCTATACACTTACAGTGGAGTCCATTTAAAATGAAATCGGCGGGACCACCTGATTTTCTTCCTTTCAGCCGGGTTTTCAGTTTAGAGAGGTTGCTCAAATAGCAGAGAAAAAAAATCAGGGATTTTTATTTTCTTTCAGATTACTGCTATAATTTTTTTAATTAAATATGTTCGCAGACCCCACAGCAGTTCCCATGAACCCAGCCAGTTTTTCCATTGGTTCTGAGAATTAAGTCATATGGTCACAGGGACACGACATAGTAGAGCATATATATGGGATCTATGATTACAAGAGCAGATGAATACTTCAGAATGTTGCATTGAGAACAAATAAATAATTGGGCAGGCTTTTTGCTGACTTGACATCCTTAAACGTCCAAGTTTTCATCCATTTTGAAACGCTTTAGGGAAGACAAAAAATAGTAAATGAATAAATGGTAAGTACTGCATTCAGACAGCATCTCTCAAGAGCAATCCCAGCCTCTCGAATAATGGTATGCATCAGTCTTTATAAATTCTTTGCCACCAGTGCTTGCACCCAAAACCATTGTTTGACAAGTTAAAATAAAAACAGGAATGATTAAACGACTCCTTTATTTGCACCCTTAGCCCAATCCATTGATGTAATAAATGCAGCCCAATCAACCAATGCCACCTCTCCCCAGCATGTAATAAAATCTGCTTGCTGATCAGAAAGGCTGGCCCTCTGGAAGCCCTCCCGCTGGCCCTCTGGAAGCCCTCCCGCCTACCCTGTCCAAGGCGGAAATTGGCTAAGGTGGAGTTTTTTTCTGGTTCTCTTGCAATTCTGTCTTGGACAGGTTCGATTGTATTTCCACTGAAGAAGCAAGACTAAGAAAAACCAACCTTCTCGAGAAGAGGGTCTTTGGTACTTCAAGAACATTTTCTGGTGAAACTTTTGTCTATATCTTGACAGAAGTAAGCTGTGTTCTTGAGCAGATTCATCAATGGGAAAGGAACAAACAGGAGGTTTGTCTCTCCGACTGTCAGCATGTGAGCTTTGTGAGATATGTATGACATCATTGCCATGGATTTCCCTTTTCTCGTTAGCAGACAACTGATTAGCTTGATCCTCTCCATCTTGGCTTGCTTGTGAGACATTATAATGAAGGTGTTCATTCCTCACAAGATTATGGTACGTTTTCTGAAGCAGCGAAGCAATAATTGGCCCATGTTTCTTATGCAATAATAAGCTTTCTTTTCCTCTGTTCAAGGCCTCAAAAGCACCCTCTGCTGAAGGTGTTTCACTCGCATTCACTTTTTCAGTTGACATGCAGTAATTATTTGGAAATACGTTTTCACTCCTCGCGGTACACTTATCATTTTGAACTTGACATTCTTCTTTTCGCTTCCTTGAATTGTCTTCCTCCAACAAATCCGATGTTGTAGAGTTTGATTCATAAGATAAGTTGCGACAACTGATGACAGAGGCATTGCTACTTTTATTTTGAAGTCCACCGTGGCTAATGGCAAGCAAGGATGCAAATCTTAGAGAAGCAAAGTGCCGAACAACCGATAGAAGACATGACTGTGAGGAGACATCTGTCATCAACAGTCTCGGCTGAGCAGCCTGTTGTCTGTAGACAAGAATGTATTTGCTAATGTTTTTCATTATAATGGTCGTAATTTACTACAAGAAACGATGCTGTGGGTCGAACTGGAAGGGCACCACTTTTGCAAGCATATATTTTCAAGTTCACTTGAACTTGAAGAGAAGAATTTAAAATCGAGGAAGCCAAATATTGGGCTAAATTGTGCACCACCATCACTTCATCATAATTAAAATGCGTTGCTCTCTGTGTGTTTCCAAGGCAGAAAACTCACTAGTCGACAAGTGTCAGAGTCATCTAGAGGTCATGAATCCTCATTCTCAGTCCCCAAGCCTGTCTTTTTCTTATTTCTTACGATCACTGATTGGAAATTTCTTCTGCTAGCTCAGTAGTGAAATTTTTAGACAGTTCTTGAAACATTTCAACTCTCTATAAAGATCTGGAATCTAGTAGTCTGAAAAGAAAGACTCATTATTATTATAGTCCAACCAGATTCTAGATCCTTGGAACATTTTTAGGAGTTAGAAACATGATTCACCACTACAAACATTGTAAATTCTATAGATCTAGGCCTACTGAAATCCTTTAGTAGATTTCTGAGCAGAGAGTTAGTTTTGGTTTTTTTAGTTGGAGAACCCGTTTGAGTTTGCCTTGGCTTTCGGCAGCAGTATCAGTAGCAATGTCACTGATGATGACGACTTTGATTTCCCTTTTTGATTTTGGTGATTTGTCTTGTCTTTCGGAAATTCGAGCACAGTCAGTAGGCCTAGATTTCATATATATGACATGTCAATGACAATGACATGATCTCTCTCTCGAAAATCTAGCCAGGCAGCACGCTTCATAATATAGATTAATATTGTGTCATATAAATTCTGATACTGTCACTGTCAGATATATTCTCTTGCAAATTTGGATTTCATATCATAGGCCTACTGAATGCATCTGGGTCCATATTTCATCAAGAATTTCACTTCTGCATAATAGGATACCTAATGAAAATAGTTTTGCGGCAATGCGGTTGAAGTGGAAGGAACTGGACGGGATCAGAGATCACTTGTGTGTGATCAGTTTGCTCTGGGCCTATTTTTACTTTCGTTTCCAGTTTCTATCAACTTTCGCTACTTTTTGTCTATTTGTACGCAATATGTATACCTGACCCAATGAGGTTGTAAGGTCCTTGACTTCACCTAATAATTAACATCTTGTTAATATCAACTACAATGTATACTTCTGTAGTCATATGAGAGACCTTCCAAAACATGAATAATAATTACAATCACAAGTAAACCTATTGTTTTAACCTTAATTTTTGAGTACATTTTATCTATTTTCATGAATCCAATCTTCACTGTGGTGTGTATTATTTTTTTCGAAAAGCGTAACATTCATATGTAGACTGTTTAGATTTTAAAAATATACAACAACAGCAACAACAACAACAACAACAACAACAACAACAACAAAACAAAACTAAGAAAAATAAAGTCATCTGAATTAAAAAGGAATGGAGGTGCTGAAATGTGAGCAAGATTGACGAAACTAAATATCACGCTTTTGAACATGCAATTCCAATGCTATATTGTTAATTTATTGAATTTTTAATATATGTAACACTTTTAAAGAACAGATTACGAGGCACTGGGCCTAGAAATAAATTCGTTTCCTGTTTCTGATAATCAATAGGCCTATTACCTTTAGTTCAGTGAGACTGTTATTGATAGTGGCAATGGAGGAACTTACAACGGTTGGTGCTCATTTACTCAAGTCTTACCTTTTTAAATTATATATTGTGGATTAACTTATTGTGGGTTGACTTTTTATTCGTTCAAAATAAAAATGGATGATATATTGATTTTAAAAATTGTTTTGTCATTTATCCCATAAAAAAAGAACACATAATAAGTAGCTTAACGTATGTAAAACTTCTTTTCCTGTTGTCCTCGCTGCAGTGCGGATAGTTATCATGGGAGACAAACCATACACAAACTAGATCTACATGTTTTAAGATTTCAAAGTAGCCTCCCTTATTAACTACTACTTTCATTTTCCAGATGACTGACTGACTGACAGATGAAAGATAAACTAATGATCTTGGCCGCTATGAAAGTTCACCTTGCTTTCAGTTCTCAGTTCGCAGTGTTCTGTAGGCTACTTGACACTTGGCGAGCTTGTCGTTGGTGATACTGATTGCCTTTATCTGATCTATCTAGAATCTAGATCTAGGGGGAATGACCCATTGGAGCGTGACCCTGGACTTTAGTAGCGTTCGAGTCCCAAGAAGCTGATGGTTTTTATGTTGTCCAAGTCAACTTTGAAAGTTTTTCCATTTTGTACAGTAACTCACAGTTACCATCGTTTGCGCTGGGCTTCTTTTATAGCGTGTGCATTGCAAGTTCGGCAGACCCTACCAACGTGCAGATCTAGATCTGTATCTACTTTTAGAACAGGTAGGCCTACAGACACTACAGTACGTACAGAGGAGGTTGGACAGGTCAATAAAACATCATGGACATGGACATGATCTAAAGTAGATAATCTAGATCTTTGAGAGAAATCCCACTCCCCACACACACACAGTATAATCTACATGATCACCCCTTCCTCCACAGTAGTTTTCAACTCTATAACTTATAAATATTCTGTTTTGTGTTGTTTATTTGGGAGGACTTCCGTTACGAGTGACCACTATGAAACAGCGGGCGGAGTAGAATAGAGGGTCACAGTCACAGTTAGGGTTTGGGGTAAGGGTAGGGGTAGAGGTAATAATGGTAGGGGTAGGGGTAGAGGTAAGGTTCGGGGTAGGGGTTGGGTCTGGGTTAGGGTTAGATCTAGGTCTCTTCTTTACTCTGTTTGTTGGGGTGGTCGCTCGTTACAGAAGTCCTTCCGTTTATTTATTATTATTATGATGAAATTTTTCATATAAGAAAGGAAGTGGTTATTCTCACCCCATGTGAGAATAACCTATGTCTCGCTATTCTCACCCCCTCCCTTGTTTTATCGAAAATGACCCAAGAGGGATCAGGGCTGAGGTTACCGGGGCTAATGCTCCAGAGGATCGTGTTGGTGTCCGAATAGACATAGATTTAGTCACAGTCAGGGTTGTCAGATTGGAGCCAAATCCCAGAAGTTTGGCTCTTTTGGATTGCGTCTGGCTCGGAGAATTTCATTTGGCTCTCTGGCTCTTTTTTGGCTCCAAACTCCAAATGCTGAAGAAGGAGGGGACAGAAGAGGCGAGAAAAAGAAAAAGAAAGAATGAAAGAAAAAAAATGAAGGTGAAGAAAAGAGCTTGGATTGTTTAAAATTATTAAACTAGTTAACATGATTTAACGCCCTCGTCCATTTGGTCTGAATAATTTACAACCCTTCAACCGTTGTGCAAGAGCATGGTCTCGTGCTCGTGTCTTGATACGTTTGTACACGCTCTCTATTCCTTGAACCATAATGTATTGTGTGCAGAGAGGCCAGCCATCATTGAGTGTGTAAACAACGAATGGTCTGGCCGGCGGCCGGTCCCACGTCCCGCTCAGTGTCGGTAGTGAGCCTTTTTTTACTGGAGAGGCGAAAAATGTTTTTACATTATTATTTCGTTCCCGACCACATGCGGTAAGCCACCAAGGACCTAGGTGATTTTATCGGCCTGCGAGAGGTTTGGGGGTAGTCTTCACCTCTTGCCCACACTGGGGTGGGAGCTGTTCTCAACAAGGGGGGGGGGGGTGAGAATAGTGAGACTTGGGTTATAATTCTCACCCGGGGTGAGAATAAAGGTGGCTTTTAAGAAAAACCAGCCTGACAAGAACCAATTTCTCTGGTAAATTATTGAATTGAGCTAATTCCTGCGCCCCCTGTCCCTTCCTCCCGAGCCCCCTCCCCCCGCTTTCCCCCTTGGCTTCTGCCCTTGGTTCTGGTTGTAATCTGAATCCAGAGCTGTATAAGACAAGAGAAAGGACTTCCATAATGTGCAACCACCCCAACAAACACAAGAGACCTTACCCTTACCCAACCCTAACCCTGACACTAACCCTTATACGGGGTGCCCATTGGGCAATGGGGGTCTGGTCAGGGCGGTTTGCAAGCCAGATTGGGGGGGGGGGGCAAAGTGGCCGTTGTGGCATTTTTAAGCCTATCGCGCTCGAATAGCTGACTCAAAAACAGACGCGACCGGACCCTAATCCCATCCCCAATGGGCACCCCATCCCCAATGGGCACCCCATCCGTATAACCACTAGCGCTAACCCAAACCCTAACGTAACCCTACTAATCTTAGCCTTAATAACCCTTTACCCTCTATTTTTCCTAGTAGTCGCTCAATCCTTATGGAATTCCTCTTGTTAAAAAATCCTGCGGCCAGATAAGCTGAATTTATGACGATCTTCTTCTTAAATTGATTTATTGTGGGGGCTTCAATGACCAAGCTGATATAAGTTCAGATTCGCATAATATATGTGTCCTCCTGCAAGTGTTACTGGGTTAAGATGGGTGGTCCCTTGGGTGTATCCTTCAGCAAGACACTCTATTTACCTGAGCTAATAAAAACATGGTACTGCATAATTGTGACCAGCAATGGCACGTTTGTAAAATTGTCCGCCTTTGTGGAATATTGTGTACAGCGGCGTCTGCTGAAACTTAAACCGAAAACGGTTAATCTGGTAAATGGAAAGAAAATAAAGTCTCAAATTTTCATCTTCTTTTTGAGTTTGAGCAAACTCTATAATTCGAAATCCTGGTGAAACTGAAGAAAATTCAGCGGAGCAGCAGATTTCGGTTTAAAGAGAAATCTATTGTATTCAACGGAAAATAACAGATATTGAAAATGTAATGTTCTGGGCAGTAGAAACATGTGGAGCATGCAGAGGAAAGGGCTCGTTTTCCCTAATTTTGAGTTAAACCTACTATCTTTCTTGGGTAACAATGATCATGTTGTTGTGGCTTTTGGTAAACACAGATCTAAACTTCATTAAAAAAGAAGGAAGAATAGAAAAAATCCACCACTTAGTCGGGGAGGGGGGGGGGGGGAA